TAAACTGATTAGGTGGTGAGTGTAATAAGTTGCATGCATATATCTTTAATTTTGGCATTCATTATTGTATTATCTCGTCCTCACACTTATGAACAAAAATGGCTTTATCGAGTGTTAGCATCATCACATTATTGATGGAGGTTTAATTAGACTTGGTCATTCTAAGGTTCCTCATAACTTTTGATATTTTTCTTTGGTTGTCTTGTCTATTTGATCAATCGTATGCCAACTACTACTATAAGTGGCAAGTCTCCCTTTCGGTGTCCTTATCACCTTAAACTAAATTATCCTTTTCTCAAAATATTTTATTGTCTCGTGCTTTTTCGTTTCTTTATCTTTTCAATAAACATAAAATAGATTTTTATTCTACTCTATGCATTTTTCTTGGCTATGGTTCCAATCATCTCAATTATGTTTGTTTTAATACTTCTATTTACAAGATTTACATTCCATGACATGTTCGACTTCATAACAAATTTTTTTTTATAAAGGTTGAACAAAGATCTCTATAGTGCAAACCGGACCTTCTAGCACCCAACCTCTCCACCCTTATTGGACTATCCCAAATGTTATCTTACCCTCCTATCTTGACCTCTCCACAATATGTGCCCTTCCTTGCCATTTTCTAGTTCTACCGCCATTATTACTATCGAAGCCTCCTTTTACTAAACTATTTATTGTCACTTAACCTTTTTCTCTAGTCAAGTCTCCTAAGTGACCACATTGCATGGCTCTCCCTCTTCACCATCCGGCCTTAACTTGGTGGTTAACCTTTTGACATTTTAACTACCTTCTCTTATTATAACTATTTGGTAGTATGTTCAATATTCTTCTAGTGCCATTATCTAACAATACTCATAATAGTTGACTTCTTTTTTCACCATACATACAACATGATTTTTCATCCTCATAGTCATTCTAAATTAGCAACTCATCTTAGCATTGTTTGTTACTCGCTATGCTCGCTAACTTTTAGCTCTCTACTCCTGTGGATCATAAGCCAACCTCCTTTAAGAAGGCCACTATTTATTCTAAATTATATGTTGTTATACTTTCTAAAATGGATGTAGTACATGCTAATTATAGATGGACTCTTATTCCATGACTTCCTCACATGAATGTTATTGGGTGTCATTGGATTTATTATGTTAAAAGAAAGTCTAATGAATCTTTTCAGTGCTATAAGGCTAGACTTATAGCCAAATGGTTCATTAATATGAAGATATGGATTACATTAAGACTTTTAGTCTCATTATTAAGCTCGCTACCATTCGTATTGTTCTCAATATTATCCCGTTTAAGCAATAATAGGCACATCAACTTGTCATTCAGAACACCTTTTTAAATGGTATTGTTACTAAAGATGTGTGTAATTTATACAAATATCTATATGGAGCAACTGCTTGGCTTTTTTCATCGTATGTGCTCCACTCATATGTGTAAGTTATACAAATCTTTATATGGTTTGAAGTAGGCATTGTCGTGCTTGGTACTTTCAAGACAATCAATTTCTCTTATGCCTTGGATTTATGAGCTTTAACGCTAATACTTTACTATTTATTCTACTTACTATTGAGGTTTTCATATTTTTTTAAATTTATGTTGATAACATTATTATCACATGTATTAGTTCTTTTTATATTATCACTTTTATCTCATTACTTGTAGTTGAATTTTATTTATATGATCTTGGTCTCGCTTACTTATTTTTGGGTGTTGAGGTGACATCTACTATACATGACCTTTTTCTTTGTCAGCAAAAATATATTTAGGACACTCTTACATGAGTTAATATGTCCATCTACAAACCACTCGGCCACTCTAGCTTCCACTTCTACCAAACTTTATCTTAGTAACAACAAGACATTTTCCGAGGCCTCTAAGTATCATTAAATTACTGTGTCTGTATAATATTTGGCACTTATTTGTTTCAATATTAGCTTTGATGTTAACAAAGCCTATTAGTTTATGCATTCTCTTTCTAAAGATCATTGGATGTTTGTTAAGCACAATCTTTACTATCTCTAACATACTATTCATCATGGTCTTCATCTCAATAAACACTCTTCTCTTTGATTTTATCCCTTTATCGATGTTGATTGAGTTGATAGTCTTGATGATCATAAGTCTATGGGTGGCTATATAATTTTTCTTGGCAACAATCTTGTCTTTTTGGAAATTTGGTAAACAACAAACTCTTGTTCGCTCTTCCACTAAAACAGAATATAAGGCTTTTACGGATAATGTTGCCATATTACTCTCAATTCAATCTCTTTTTCATGAACTGATTATTGGACCTCTTTTTCTAATAATTCTTTGATATAATAATCTTAGTGCCACTTACTTATCAACCAATCTTATCTTCTATGTTCATACTAAGCAAGTCGAGGTTGATTTTTCGTTTTATCTAAATCAAGTAAGTGAAGGTTTATTTTCTCTCAAGATTAAATCGTTGATATTCTTACTAAGCCTCTAGTTACTCGATCGCTTTTTCTACTTACTTCTAGACTTCATGTGAATTCCTTACCCTTTTCAACTTGAGAAAGTATATTAAATCATAAGTATTTTTTTATATATATTGCGAGTCATAAAAATATATTGTATATTATAATTTGGCTAATTGGTTCGATAGTACCTTGTATTATGTATTGACCAAAGACTACCACCCCAAACTAAATTTTTTTCAATTTAAGTATCATAACTATTTTTTGATTTGTAATCAAGTATGTCAATTCCATTGATCAAAATTTGAGCAATTTTTTTTCGCACACATATGAAGTTCGGTATGGCTCAATAAATAAAAGACATATGGACCTTGTTTTATTTGTCGACCAGCTTAATTTAGTGAAATTACAAATTACACCACCTTTAAATTAAAAAAAAAAAAGGATTTTGAAAAAACCCTAAATCATTTAATCACTCACTACTACACACACAAACTCTCTCTTTCTCTATGCGAGATCTAGTTTTCTTCATGTCTCTATGTTTCTTCACCCTCACACTCTTTCCTTCCACCAATACTAGTATCAACTACATCCACTAGACTAAAGTTATTGTTTGATGCTCCTTTTTTCTCTTGATTTTTGTTTTGTTTGGAAACATAAGGTCTTGTACTAGTAGTAGTGTTAACAACGTCCACGACCTTGCTTTTAATGTATGATTTGCATGAGCATGCACTTATAGTTTCTTTTGAAACCAATTGGAGTTTCATGATGAACATCATCGAAACCGTATTTTTTTTATGTGACATGAACTAGGCAAGTGGTTATGGTTCTTTTAAAGTGTTTTGGAGGAATGATGATATTCTTGGGAGATGTAATTATATGAAATATTTTGAATTGCAAAAGATGATGGTTTATTTTTTAAATAATTATAATTGAGGTTTCCACTTGACAAACAAAAAATGATTCATTTTGTTGCAATGAAGTTGGGGTTTGGATTTGATATGCATTTTGTAATACAATGATAGAGATATATGGGTGGGTTTCTTATGGTCTTTAAGTGTTTGATGAAATGTCATAGAGAGATTTAGTTATTTGGATATCATTAATTTAGATATGAGTTTTTTGGTTATTTTACGACTACATGTCTATCACATGTGCATGGATTTTGGTCCACGGAATCAACGGACTTGATTACAAACTAAAAAATAGTTACGGTACTCAAATTTAAAAAAAAAATTAGTTCAAGGTACTACTCTTTGTCAACATATAGTACATAGTTCTATCGAATCAATTAACCATTTAATTTCCTATAATGTTAACTATATTTCTTGTATTATAAAATATTGTGATTTTTTCTATACTTGTATAAACCCTTACATATAAATACAATACAATACCATGACAAAAAGTATGCACTTATATAAATCATCTTTTTTGTTTATTTCTCCCAGCTCATTATGCTTTCAATGTTCTGGTTTTATAGCAAATTTTGTCTTCAAAATATTGCAATTTGACAATTTCGGACCCAAAGTATCAAATCGAGTAATTTGAATATTAAAGTATTAAAGATTGAGCAAATATGATCCAAATTGTCAATTCTTCATTATTTCTAACAATCAATTATTAGTTGATTGTTGCGCCTTTTTTTTTAAATGGAAGCCAAGAGAACTGAAAAAGAGTAAGGTAGATGATTTGCCTTACCCCTTTTCAATTCCTCAGATAAAAATTGAATGGAAAGATAGTAACTCGATGCTGTATTTCTCTCCAGTGCTAAGGCATAATAATTCAAAAAGGAAAATGTGCTTTCTGTATTGAATCAATGAATGATTTAAACTTCTACCCTGTTTCAAGATTTGTTACTATCTCATATAAAACGGGTAAATTTCATGTCAAATACTCTCAAACAGTACGAACATGGAATACAAATTGCCGTTGTATTTTCTTTAATCCAGTCTGATTTCCTGATCTCCATTCGTAGCTTCCCGGTACCTGGTGACCAAATGGGCCATCAGTTTTTGAGGACTCGTGCATTTGGAGGCTTGATGCCTTTCCTTCGAATAATTTAAACCTTTTAATTTGACACCTGGTTTTCTCAAATTTGAGACATTTAATGGATTGTTGGGCTTGGCATTTGAACCAGAAATCCAGAATGTTGAATGCTTTACCTCAATCTAGCAGTTCCCACGCTTAAGTCATGGCTTTGTAGCAGCAAGCCTATCTTGTGACTTAAATCAACATGAGCAAGGCAACATATCACTGCAAGATATTCACTTAAAATCAGTCACCAATAGTCCCTACAGGAGCTAATTCCATCATGAAAATTGTGAAAACGATGAGTATCTCTAATGACGATCTCTCTTTCTACAATCTTGGATATAAGCTTGGCAGCAATATGGCAATCCCCACAAGCACGATTTTTTTTTTTTTTTTTAATTTCTGATCGTAGTTCCAGGATTTGTATTCAGAATGGGAAACACAATTGCCAGCTTCTCACTATGAACTGCTAGATGGCATTCTTTGTCCTCCTCTTCCACATCGTGAAGAGCAGCATCGATTTCAGGCATGTCCCAGTTCTTTCATTCTTCCAATTAATATATCTAACTCTTTGTAGATCTCATTTGACTGAGGATGAGACCTGTCATCAGCAAGAAAAGTATGAACATGATCATTGATCTCATCATTGCTAATGTCGGGAATTTTTTTGACCCCCTTGCTGTTCATGATTGATCTAACAGTTTCATCATCTTGCCATCTTCCAGCCTTTGCATATAAGGTAGAGAGCAACATATAATACCCTGACTGTTCAGGAGCTAACTAGAAAAGGTAATCGGCAGCCAAAAGTGCAGTATCCATGTTAGAGTAAACCCGACAAGCACTTAATAGAGACCCCCAAACTCTTTCATTAGGCTCCATTGCCATCTGTCTGATCATGTGATAGGCCTCGTCTATTTTCCCAGAACATCCCAATAGATCTACCAAGCAAATTAAAGGGTTCTATCCATGGAGTTGTCCCATATTCAGCCATTAGATTAAAGCAGCACCAACCCTCGTCAACTAATCCAGCATGACTGCAGGCTGCTAAAACAGAAACAAAAGCAATCCAATCTGGAATTAAACCTGAGTTCCTCATCTAAAGAGTGCCACAGCATCCTGACCTTATGCATAAGCAGAGATCGTAGAAGTCCCACAAAACATCATTTGATCAAATACAGCCCTTGCTTCCTTTATGCATCCACATTTTGCATATATATATATATATATCAATGCATTCTCCAACAATAAATTTGGCCGAAGCTTTTTCCTTTCAAAATATTCATGAATTCGCCTTCGTAACACCATAGCTGAAAGGTCCCCACAAGCAGGATGCACACTAGAAATAGAGACAGCATCAGGTTCAACCCCATGCCCTTCTATCTGGAAATACAAGTCCACTGCTTCATTAGGCAATGCATTTTTCACATACACTGCTATCATCACATTCCAAGAAATCAAACTCTTTTCTTTCAGCTTCATAAGCGTCTCCATAACATACAAAACATTATCACAAGATGTGTTCGTCACAGCAGGCAAGAGATTTCCCATTGTACCAGCATCAGTTTTTAGCTTCACACCCTCTATTTCTCTACAAAGCTTCAATGCATCATTAAAACTCCCATTTTGAGCATGCCCAGCAACCACTGAATTCCAAGAAACCATATCCGTCCTTGGCATCTCATCGAGAACTTGCCTTGTCGCCTCCAAACACTTACATTTTCCACACATAGAAACTAACCCATTCCCAATATAAAGATTCACTTCAACAGAATTAGAACCCAGCATGAGTAATTTTTACAACAAAAGGTTGCTGCTTATACTCACTCTCTCTGCCCCCAATTCACTTCAATTACCTAAAAACCTAATTGAAGTCTAACCCTTCAGAGACTATCTTATGAACACTAACAAGTCTCTCGCAACCTCTCCCCTTCTCTCCATGTCTCTGTCTCTCCCTTTTTCAGTTCAATTTTTATGAGATGAATTGAAAAGGGATAACGCAGACGAAATGTTGGCTTACTTAACCTTTTTCAATTCTCACATGTTCCATTTAAAAAAAATAAAAAAATTAAGCAATGATGAACTGATATTGATAGTTAGAAACAATAAAAATTGATGAATTTAGATGATATTTATTTAATTTTTAATATTTTAATATTTAAATTATATAATTTAATAATAAAAATTGATAAATTTAGATGATATTTATTTAATTTTTAATACTTTAATATTTAAATTATATAATTTAATAATTAAGATCTAAAATTATCAAATTGTGATATTTTAAAGTAAAATTTATTATAAAACCTTAACTTTTCATTGTCAAGACCGTTGATCAACCCCTTCACCCCATTATGACAACCAAGTCTAAACATGCTTCGTCATCTTCTTCAAAACCCACGTCAAGAAAGACCTCATAACCTCTCTACTATTCTTTTAACAGTCAAGGGGCGGACCCATGTTGAATGCTATAGGGCCCTAGCCCATCATTTTTTTTTCCCTCGTGAAACACCCTATGCCATGCTCTTTTATTGAGTTTTTTTTTTTTTTTCAAAACAGGATATTTTTAAATTTTATTTATAAAAATAAGATTGTTTTAATTTTATTTATCAAAATAAGATAATTTTTACTATGGTGATCAAATTACTTACATGTGTCAATTTTTTTTAATACAAAATTCATTAATAATTTTATAAAATTTTTAAAATAAATATTATTTACAATACACCTGTTATATTAGTTATGATTATTAGATAAAATCAAATACTAATAGACTTGATCTCACTAACTCATCAGCATAATCTAAATATTATTCTGATAAAGCTAAAATAAATAAATCTTCAAGAACCAGTAAGTCCATCTCTTTCTATAAAAATTGAAATGGCTCAATTTCAAGAACATTAAAAAAAAATGGTTGAAGTAAACAAACCCATGCCTAAAATCCAAAACTAACCCAAAACAAAATTATTATTTGCCAAAGTATGACTTTCATTATTGAGGGTTAAGAAGTACTGGGAATCCGAAACAGTGGCTGCCAAGGCTGTATTGTCGTTGGCTCGTCAACATTGATAAATACATCTGTAGAGCATATGAGATGCTTCACGTACTAGAACAAAACTGCTACTGGATTGGATGAACCTTGATTAATAAACGTATTATTATTTGCTGGTTTTGGATTTTGGGTTTTTTAACCCTCAATAAATCACTACAGCTCCATTTATTTGATTCTTAAGTCGTTTCATTTTTTACAGAGAAAGATTGCTATGGAATTATTATTTTTTAAAGGTTTTTTTTTATTTTGACTTTATTAAAACAATTGTTTATAGATTTTGTCAATGAGCTGATGAAGTTGGATTATTAGTATTTGATTTTATCCGATAATTATAACTAGTGAAATCGGTGTATTATAAATGATATTTTTTAAAAAAATTTTGTAAAATTATTAATGAATTTAGCATTAAAAAGCCGACACGTGTAGGTGATTTAATCTACGTGACAAAAACTATCTTGTTTTAGCAAATAAAATTAACACAACCTTATTTTTGTAAATAAGATTTAAAAGTATCCTATTATTTTTTTTAAAAAAAAACTATGTTTTTATCATCTTTTCTATTTTGTCACAATTCTACTTTTAATATGACATCATCCTTTTTACCAACTATACTGCTTTTCAAATCTTTGTTTTAGTAGATCTATCATATCTCCATTCAAGAACTTAACCAAATAACAACCACTAGCTACCATCTAAAAACAAGGCTTACAAACAATTCTTATCGATTCATTTATATCTCAAATTTGAACTTTAGGTGCCTATATTTATTGATATTAAAGAACTTACAAAAATGTTGTTCCACCCAATACATCTTTAGATAAACTTAGCCCTTTTTTAATATTTTTTTAACCTTTGCCCTCGATTCCACACCGAGCACTACTAAATCCATAATATTTGTTTAATTTGATCCAAGTCGCCTCCTACCACTACTAAACATATTCCTTCTTTTATTTCCCTTAACTCTCACTCTATTCAAAACATTAAAAAGAAAACCTTCTCTATAATCTGGATTTTTCTTATTTGACAAGACAATATGCATTTTTTTCAAAAATCGGTAATTTATTAAACTCCTTTTATATTGTCTACAATATTAATTTATTAAGTTTTTCATTTTATATATTAATTGAATCTTGACAACTCCTAATTTTCTTTTTTAAATAATATTTTATAATTAAAATATTAGATTGGTTGTCTTCTTAGTTTTATTTTTTATGATTAAGATATCTATTGGATCCATAGCTTAGTAAAATTCGATAATCTATCGACTTGAATTAAAGTTATACTATTGATCTTGAAATTTTGTGCCATTGTTGTGCTTGTAGTTGTAGACCCAAAGAAAAAAAAAACAAAAGGAATTGTAATTATAGGAATGTAGGATTACGGTTTACAAATAACCATTCTTCTTTCATTAATGGTTATTTAAAAATATCTTTGATTGCTTTAGTCACAACCTCTTTAGATTAATATACCGGATCCTCAATTGTTTGTTTGTTAATAATAACAATTTTTCTTGTTTATATTTTATAGGTTCTATATTATTAAAGTGACTATTTTGAAATTTATTCAACTTATTAGTAGATTGGCCGATGTTACTATAATCCTTAATATTTTTAGGTACGTATATCGGTAACCTTAGGGGTGGCTCCCGGTAGACTTGGGTGGTGGTCTATTTATGTATTTTGTTTGAGAATTTAAATATATTTTTACATTTATTCTAAGACTATTTTAAAGTATATGTTGATATATTTTTTATAATATATATAAGTTTGTATAAATCATGATAAATTTATAAACATTTATTTTGACCTCCGTGGACATTTGGTCCTACGTCCGCCACATCGAACGGATACAACTAACGAGTTCTAACTCCTGTCGTAGTAGCTACACTCGTTTACCAACTTGACTTGTTTGAACCAGACTCACTTGCCAATCCATGAGCTGCTAGAACCACCATTGAAGGCTTGAAAGAAGAATGATCACATGCTTTAAGGATAAAATTTTATGGGTTTTGGGCGAGTTGATTGGACCGGAAGATATTGCACATGAGAGCAAGTCGGAGGTTATTTACACTAGTTGTCCCGATGGGTGGGTTAAACGAGTCACGATCAATGACTCGATGGGCGACACAATTATGGAGAACTAGGATGACTCTAGTGGTAGGGTTCTCGGGCTCATCCTTGGACACAATAATAGTACAAAAATAATTATAGTTTGTGATGAAATATTAGTGACAAAACCGTTGCTAATCAACAAAAAATTACGACGATCGGGAAAAAAAGGTCATTTGTGAGGAGTTTAGCGACGGTTTTAAAAACTGTTGCTATTCGAACAAATTTGATCGATGTTTGCAATGGTTTTTTTCAAACCATCAAAAATTGACACAAAATTAGAGATGATTTTCAAAACCGTCACTACATTTTAATTTTTTTTTCTTTGTAAGGAAGTTGCGATGGTTTTTTTTTCCAAAAAATCATCACGAATGTACCAAAATTAGCGACCGTTTACAAAACCGTCGCTAAATTCTGAATATTAGGAAAATGACTATTTTGAATTTTAGGTAAAATTAGCGATGGTTTAAAAGTCAGTTGCTAAATTTTATTATTATTATTATTGCTTTGTAAGGAAGTTGTGACAATTTTTTGCAAAACACCATCGCAAATATACCAAAAGTAGAAAACTGTCACTAAATTTTGACTATTAGAGAGGAAATAACTATTTTGAATTTTTGGGTAAAATTAGTGATGGTTTAAAAACCGTTGCTAATTTATTTATTTATTTATTGCTTTGTAAGGAAGTTGCGACAATTTTTTTCAAAAAAACCATTGAAAATATACCAAAATTAGCAATGATTTTCAAAACTCGTCGCTAAATTTTGATTATTGGGGAGAAAATGGCTATTTTGAATTTTTGGGTAGAATTAGCGACGGTTTAAAAACCGTCGCTAAAAGTTTTAATCCCTAAATAGCCACTAGTTTTAGTCCCTAAATAGCCACCTGGATCAGAATTTTTTTCCTCTCTTCTTCTTCTTCCAGTTGTGATTTTCTCATCCTCATTATCTCTATAACTTCTTTAAATCTCCTTCTTTCTCTTATTTTCCTCTTCCCCTTAATCTCTCCTCCTTTCTTCCTTCCTTTTCTTTTTCTTTCTCCCCTTCCCTCTACTCGCCCTTAATCCGACCTCTCCATCGTGAACGAGTGCCACGACAGTAGCACCACCATGGTACAACTTGTCCCTCATCTAATCCTCAAATTATCTTATTGGTAACCCATTTATTCATTTTTTTATTGCAATTATTAAATTTTATGTTAATTTTTGTTGTTAATTATTATTTTTAATTGTTGTTGTTGTTTATTTATTAGTTAATTATTAATGCAATTATTGTTATTAATTTTTAATTGTGTTATTATTTTTAATTATTTATTCTTTAATTAGTTAGTTTAATTGTTGGTATTTAGAAAATTTAATTGTTAATTATGTTGTTCTTTTATTATTTATTGATTAATAGTTAGTTATTTTTAATTAATTTTTTATTATAAGTAATTGTTATTTGTTGGTTATTAAATTAAGTGTAATTATTTGTAGTTAAATAATTTTATAAGAGGTAGTCTAATTAATTATTTGTTTAATATTTTTTATTTAGTTGGTTATTAATTGAAGTGTAATTGTTTGTATTTAAATAATTTAATTGCTCTTGAAATATTTAATAGGAGGTGTTAATTTAATTAAATAAACTATT